GCGGCAGCAACAACAATACTACAGCGAGAATAAAAGTTACGCCTTCTTTCTTTGCGTGAACATTTGGGCAGCGTTATGCAAATCTTCCCACATAGTGACGACATGTGGGGGCGTGTTAGAACGAGCTGTTTTAGGTAGGTGTGGCTGACTCTTAACTTTTATAAAGAATATCTCTTTGGATTTGAGAGTTTAGTCTTTGCAACTTTACAGATCTTCTTTATGCACCAAGAGCTTGTAACACTCCAAAGAGAAAGGAAAAATTTAAATCGCATCATATGACCCCTTTAAAGCAAACTCTAATGGGAGGCCTTTGGTAGACATTAGCCATGTTGAAAATGACTTTTTTTTAAACTTTCATTCAACTGCAGATGAGAGTAATTCACATATTGAGATGTAAATTGCAGCTGTTTAGATAAAATAGTTAAAGATCTGTTGACATAAAATCGATCCCTCATTTCAGTAAGTACGTCTGAAATATTTTGCCATAAAAAAACAAACAACATACCGAAATCCCAACAGATGATGGTGATGATCTTCATGACAAATGATAAAGTAATTACAAAAGCAATGTGCCTTTTCACAATATCACATTTTATTGTGCGCTAGCCAACTTAACGTCAACATGAAGAATCTTGTACAATACTTCACATGAGGCACTGATACATAAATTATTTCTGTAAAAATGTGAAGTTGGGACAATATATTCATAACAAAACCTGCCCAAAAATATGTCTGTGCATCTCATTTACAGATAAATCAAACTAACATTTATAACTGGTAGAAATTCAAAATGAATGGAAAATCCAAGAAGCTCACATTTGACACAAATAAGGTGCAAATCACAAGTAATATTTAACATTATCACATTGCCACGCTTTTTTGTCGCAACTGTTTAGATAAAATAGTTAAAGATCTGTTGACAATTAAATCGATCCCTCATTTCAGTAAGTACGTCTGAAATATTTTGCCATAAAAAAACAAACAACATACCGAAATCCCAACAGATGATGGTGATGATCTTCATGACAAATGATAAAGTAATTACAAAAGCAATGTGCCTTTTCACAATATCACATTTTATTGTGCGCTAGCCAACTTAACGTCAACATGATGAATCTTGTACAATACTTCACATGAGGCACTGATACATAAATTATTTCTGTAAAAATGTGAAGTTGGGACAATATATTCATAACAAAACCTGCCCAAAAATATGTCTGTGCATCTCATTTACAGATAAATCAAACTAACATTTATAACTGGTAGAAATTCAAAATGAATGGAAAATGCAAGAAGCTCACATTTGACACAAATAAGGTGCAAATCACAAGTAATATTTAACATTATCACATTGCCACGCTTTTTTGTATATCCTGTACAATGCATCAAATAAATACTGTACATTTTAACATTTGTTTAATATAAACAACTTCCTCCTTGTACAATTTGCACATTATACAGGTATGAGGTAAAACAAGATTTAATATCACACATTCGAGAAATTAAACATTCCAATAAACAATGTGAAGGCTCAAAGCCTGAAAACATTGCTATGAAGAATGAAAAACACTGTTTCAACTCACCACTGCTTCAGTCCGGCCAAACTGCCATTTATTACTGTTAAATACTGAATGGTTTGTATTTAAAATGATGTCAGGTTTTACAATTCAACCCTTGCCAAATGTTTTGAACCCATTTAATCCCACATTAACATTTGTGACTGCATTTGCTTTTGAGCTTGAGGGATCTAGAAAAGTTGTATTTTTGTGTGTATTTTACATGAGCTCTCATGAAGGTGCAGACTTGATGTAGGCTAATGTGATCATTTTTAAACAGCTGGTTTAAACAGTCAGTTTAGAGCTTTTTAGTTTTAGTTTGCTCCTCTGTGTAAATGATAAACATATCTGATATTTAATGGGTCTATTATTAATGTATTTTTATGACTTGGATGTCTTGTATGAATCACATCACAATATAGACTACATTTTATTTCATGTCAGTGAACACATTTGTAGATAGCAAGAAACCCATTTTGAATACCTGATTGATTCACTTGAGAATTTTTTATAAATTTCAATACATTTTAAGGAATATTGTTACATTTAAAGAAACAAAGAAATATATGCATGTAGCCTATCTTTGAAATACCTGTTCCGCACAATTGCTGAGTAGTAAAAATATCAAATGATGCTGATTAGTTGTTTATAATTTATTTCGTTTTACTAACAGCAATCCCGGGCAAAAAAAAATAAGCTTTTTTTCAATTTAGCAATTTGCTTCAATGCCTTCTCCAAATTTATATGCTGATTTAGCAGAGAAAAAATGGGATTAAATGGGTTCGTTTTGGTTGTTTGGACACTGCAAAATTTCGGCTGCCCTGTTATCTATTTTCTACAACAGTTAGTTCCGGCCCTCGGATTGGATTGGCTGAGCTGCTTTTCAAAAGTGCTGAATTTTGGTACTTGGACTTTTCACTGTTTGTATTACTCCGCTTATTCGTGTTCATGGAGGAGCAGGTCGAAGTGGAAGCGGAGCAAGTGCGCGGTTTTTCCCGATCCACGATCGCTCGAGTAAAGCCCGGGGTTGAGTGGGGGAGGGGGAATCGATAACTGCTCCGCCCCACCCATATATTTAGTTTGTGCGTTGCTTGGCGATAGTTAAAAATAACGCTTGATTTTTTTTCTGGAACTATTTTCGTTCCAGAAATGTGCGACTGGCCATTTTTCTCAGAAACGCATTTCACGACACATTGATTGATTGTTTATCGAACAAGCAATATCACACTTTCAGCGCGGTCGTCATTACCTGATAAGAAACACAAACAGCACTCTTGCTCGAGTAATAGCGATTAAATAGTCATGGTTTTACTTTTACAGTTGAGACTCTGAATGGGACATCCTGCCGTTTCTTTCCAGACTGCAGTCGCTGCTGGCGCCGTTACAGTCCGACCAGGTCCCGAGCATGCTCTGCTCCAGTGAGTTCCCAAAGCCACCGGTGCAGCGCGACAGGTCGCACGAGCTCACGTGCAGCCTGCGGTCCGCCTGCCTCGGACAACACAACAGCCTCTTGAAGGCTTTCCTGAAGTCGGGACTGCGACAGTATATGATGGGGTTGAAGGCGGAGTTCACGTACCCCAGCCAGTTCAAAAACACGAAGAGCTCCTTATCCACCACTTGTGCGCAAAACACCCGCACCACGTTAACGATGAAGAACGGCAGCCAGCAGAGAGTGAACGTTCCCATGATTATTCCCAACGTTTTCAGCGCCTTCTGCTCTTTTATAGCCAGGATCCTGGTGGTTCGTTTTCGGTTAGGTTTGCAATTAGTACCATGATTGTTGTAGAACCTTCCCTCACATTTGTTGATTTTGTTCAGCTGTTCTTTGGCTTCTCTATACACTCTGGCATAGACGAATATCATGACTATTAAAGGGATGTAAAACGATATAATAGAGGAGGAGATGGCATATGCACGGTTGGTAATGAAGTCACAGCACTCGGGATTATCATAGCACGCTGTCTCCTCGCTGTCCCGGGACCAGTGCATTAGGATGGGTGGAAATGACACCAGAGCTGATATAGCCCACACTCCACAAACCACCACCTTGGCTCGTTCTTTCGTTAAAAGACTTTGATAGCGAAACGGAGAGATGATGGCGATATACCTGTCTATTGCAATTACGCACAGGGTCTCGATGCTCGCCGTGACGCAAAGAACATCAACAGATATCCAGAATTCACAGAAGAACGATCCATACATCCAGACTCCTCTAACCTCCAAGGCTGCACCAAATGGCACTACCAGTAACCCCATGATGAGATCTGCGCACGCCAGAGACACGATGAAAACATTGGTGAGCGTCTGGAGCCTCTGATTCCGCGCTATGGCGACTATAACCAGTATATTTCCCACTACAATGATGAACACTATCAGACCCATGATGATTCCCATGCCCACGAGCCACTGTTCTGATAAGTTCAGATCCACCGTGCCGCGTTTAGAGTCATTGCTGTAGTTTACGGACGGTAAACCGTCTCCCATGGTGTGGAGAAATGAAGCGCGTTCATTCAGAACTTCAGGTCCAGTGTGGAGCGCTTCCATCCGCGCTCTGCTCTCCAGCCCAGCGCACACAGGTGCTCACTGAAAGAAGGAGCAGAGCGACAAATACAACGGTGACGTCACAGGGCTGCACAGCCAATGGCTCTGCATTTCTAAATTGTAAGTCTTTCACTATTTGATCAACACAAAGCGCCGCGCAAAACCTCTTGGTCCTACCCAAGTGCAGACTTTGCGCGGCGCTTTTACGCATGGTAATTTTAGGACTTATAGCGAATCACACGTTACAGAGGGGTCCAAACGTTTGAGATCACGTTTTTTCCCTTTTGAGAAATAAACAGTGTAAGATCATTGGTGAGCACATTGACCCTATGTCAATAATGCTATAAAATGATCATAAAACACCCCAATGCACATAGCCTAGCTAATAGCAAAAATTGTTATTAAAGTTTAAAAACGATCTAAAGAAAGGTTTGTGCAAATAATTTTGTGAATGCCCCTTTTGGGATTTTATTAATGAAAAAACAATATTCACACTAATGTTTTACATATTCTGTACAGTGTAATTTATACATTTTACATCTAAAAAGTATTTTTGCAGTGCTTTACAGTAAAATGTAGTCATTTAAAATAATTTTGGTATATGGTGAGGTGGCTTACAGTTAAACACATTTTAATAACTAATCACTTTAGGAATTATAGAAATTATATAATTATATTAGTAATGATATAAATTGCATACTTTTCTCTACTTTATGTTGTTTATGTTTAGCCAACTTAGAACCATACTTGTGCTTGTATGTGCTAAACATGAAACATTTCCACTTCACAAAAGCTCTTTATAGTGGAAAACGGCTCTTTAGATTCTAATAATATTCTTCAAACTAAGAAAAAAAAAAGGTTCTTTTATGAACTGCTCACTAGTTTTTTTGGGAACCAAAAATTGTTCTATGGCATTGCTGCGAAACCCCCCATTTTTAAGAGTGTAAACTCATGTAAACGTCAGTGCAAACTTCTCAAACATCTGGAAAATAATATGCAACAACACTGCCTGACAGCACAAAGCAATTACAGGGCCCCTGGACAGATACGGCGCATGTTTGCAAACTTCACAATGCTCGATTCAGTTGTTCTATAATCGTGCCCCGGCACTTTCCTGGACAAATCACCACCAGCCAAGCTATAAAAAGGGTCAAGCCACTTGCTTTCCTTCTGAAAACGAATCAGCCCGGGCGAGAGGTGTTTTTCTAGCAGTAGGAAGCTGTTACTAGATAAGATCATAATTGCACCTCCTTATAGCCGGGACACCGACAGGCACATTAGAATAATGCTGCCGCTACAGAATTTCTCTCTCGTTCTCATTTACATTCCAGCATTGTAGAACAGCATTCTGACCTTTTCTTCTTTAAAAAAAAGTCAACATGTAGTAGCAGTCCCAAAAATAAAGAGATATTTGATATTAACTGCACCAACATGTAATAACGTAGGGCCGGTCCCTACACACTTTCAACCCCTTTTGTCATTGTTTGATCCATCAGATGAAGTCCTGGGACTCTTGTGAACGGAATGATCTCACTCTTTCTAAGCGAGCGAAAGGAAGTCTACTCATGTTGCATTGTGGTGCAGGAATCAGGATGCAGGACTAATATGTCAATAAGGAGAGTTATGCAATCTATATGTAGCATAAAAATTCCATTCAGGTACCAATGCAAATTGAGACATGCATTCATTGGATCGCTTGGAATTGTGGTAATGCAGTTTAATGATGATGACTACATAATGATGGATGATTTAGACTGAAATTAGAAGGGGAAGAGATTAAGTCATGTGAACAGTCGAGTGTTATTAGTTAAAGGAATAGTTTAACCAAAAATTTGCTGAAAATATACTCACCCTCAGGGCATCCAAGATGTAGATGACTTTGTTTTTTTCATCAGAGCAGATTTGGAGAAATGTAGCATTACATCACATGCCCACCAATGGATCCTCTGCAGTGAATGGGTGCCATCAGAATGAGAGTCCAAACAGCTGATAAAAACATCACAATAATCCACAAGTAATCCACACGACTCTAGTCCATCAGTTAATGTCTTGTGAAGTGAAAAGCTGCATGTTTTTAAGAAACAAATCCTATAAATCTTCCTCTTTTCCTCCTTTTCTTCCTATAGTCACAGTCTTCTTTGAGAGCAAATAAGGATTTGAGCAACAAACTAACAGTTTATACCAATTTAATCACAATGGCTTTCTGCACTGACGATTCTTAAGCCATAACCACAGTGCAACTAATAAAACATATTCTGAATTTAAATTAGCCCATGCAAGGCTAGTGCTAAATACAGCATGGAAAATGAACATTCTTCTCTGTAGGCCTATTATCAAAATGAAAGGATTAAAACATGTAAAGTACTGTGACAATTATGTAAGCGAAACCCAAGTAACTTTTCATATTTCTATTCGCAGCTGTCTAATTATCTTTAATTTCATGCCGTTTTATTAAAATTCACAGAGCAGTTTTCAAGTCATGGTAAATGTCTTCAGAATATCAATCCTGAATAATATTAAATTATAAAGTTCCTCGCGTATTTACCCAAACACCTGCACCAAATAATAAACTTTCATTTTCTGACCTTCAGAAGGAGATCTGTTGTGGCTTTGAGGAGAAATAGTAAGAAATGAATAAGTAATATAATGAAATGTAAAGGTTTCATTATGTATTATGCATCTGTTAAACTATGAATTTTGATTGAAATACTTGTTCCAGACATTCATAAACTCTTGAGGGAGCACGGATACGCCACATCTGTCTGTCAGTCTATGCTTCACACTCCATATGTTTCATACATTCCATACGTTTACACTTCTGGCAAATGTCACAGATCAAAAACAGCATCTGTCTTCCCCTCTTCCTAATGGAAGGATGGTTCAAAGGGTCAGTATCTGACAAACAGCACGCTCTGATCTCAGACTTGGCTATTAACCTCTGAAAACCTGTTGTTCATTCTACATATGCAAACATAAACATGACTGCAGCTGAAAGTTCATTGTGTTCCCTTCATGGTGTGTTATTGAATGATTGTAGCTTTGGAAGTGTATATACAGTGTTTTACCCCAGAGAGACAGATGTGCATTAACTTCAGATGTCCATTAAACTAGCATTTAATAGCATTTGAATTGCCAGTAACTCAGCAGCTGGTGGGATTATAATGATATCAGCAAACCTTAAAAGGGTCATATGATGCGATTTAAATTTTTCCTCTCTTTGGAGTGTTACAAGCTCTTGGTGCATAAAGAAGATCTGTAAAGTTGCAAAGACTAAACTCTCAAATCCAAAGAGATATTCTTTATAAAAGTTAAGAGTCAGCCACACCTACCTAAAACAGCTCGTTCTAACACGCCCCCACATACCTACGTCACTATCTGGGAAGATTTGCATAACGCTGCCCAAATGTTCACTCAAAGAAAGAAGGCATAACTTTTATTCTTGCTGTAGTATTGTTGTTGCCGCCGCCATGTCGTGAAGATGCTGTGTTTCATCGTGAAAGTGAAACTACTTTGTTTGGCCTTCCAAAAGAGGACGATATCTGCTTCGTCATGCCTGGAGCTGATCCGTGCTGGTTGCTGAGGAAATACATCAACTTCGCGCTGTGGATCGCCGTATCGGCTTTCACCGTGGACGAAGCGGAGTCCAGCCCGGGGTCGTCACATGGGGTTGCCGCAAGCCCGCCGGATGCTCCTTTGTCGAATCCGCCGCCTCTGCTCACTCAGCTCTCCGGCCGTTCCTCACTTTAGCCCCCGGCATCTGCTCACTCTAGGCCGCCGTGTGTGACGCTGTTTCATTGTGAAAGCGAAACTACTTTGTTTGGCTTTCCAAAAATGGACACGACTAGAAATCAGTGGTTAAGTTGTATTTACAACACTGTTCCAGAACACTTCAGCCCAAATATTCAGATGTGTGCAGCACATTTTATGGAGGACTGTTTACTGAT